ACATTGTTATGTTGATCCAAGAGGGTTCATCACCCAGTTTACATCTCGTTGTTCATTATATCGCTAGGAGTTGGTTATCAGAATGAATTTCTCATGACCTAATCTCTTGACGAGGAGAGAGTTATAGGCAGCAGTGTGAGAATTGTGATTCTATTTCGGGTGGGAATCCCAAGTTATTAGCAGTTGAGTAGCCAATTGGGAGTTAAGTGCAATGAATTCCATCTCAAGACTTCAAATTTCGGATTGGGTACATGTGATCATATTGCAAGGGATTCGTTTATTTCCAGGTTTTAGAACCCTGCGAGGGTTGGTTACGGTTGCCCCGAAAAGGCTAAGGTTATGCTCGGGATTGTAGTTCAAGTTACTTGACGTGTAAGGAATGAGAAGAAGCGATTTCGAGGACGAAATCAAATTTAAGTGGGGGAGAGTTGTAACATCCCATTTTAAACATGATAATTAAATAATAAACTTAGAACCCGAGAAGCAATTTGTATTATTATTATTATGTGTTATTATAGCCCGAAATGAAATAATAATTAGCTGGGAGTGGGTTTCGGGAAGCCAAATGATAAGATTTGAATCTCCGGGGGGGGGGGGGGGGAGGGGGGGGGGGGTTAAAGTGTAATTTCAGGATTTATTTTGCAAAGCATTTTGAAGAAAGGGGTTGTTTGGTAAAATTTGGGCTTAAATTGAAAAGATTTGAAGGCTTAGGGGCTTGGTGAATTCAGGGACTTAATTGTGAAGGATTTTCGGAGGAAGGGTGTAAAGGGTAAAATATGGATCTACTTTGAAGAAATGGGACAAGGAGGGACTAAGAGTGTCATTATGGACTCAACTTTGGAGGTAGCGGGTATATAGAGTTCCGAAACCCTAACCCTAGTGAAGGTATCAGCCGACACCCCACTCTCTTTTCCCCTCTGGCCGTCATCATCCCATCCTCTCTATCCCCCTCCGTCGAGTCCGTTACCGCCGTCGTTACCTGCCAACACCAAGTCGTAAACCACCGCTGGAGCTCCTGCTGCCGGCGACGAGGACCACCGAGAAGCGAGTGCTTGTGTTTCCGCCGGTTGCTCGCTCGTTGACTGCTCTCTCTTCGCCACCGCTATCTCCTCCATTGTTGCATCGCCGCCAGACGACCATCTCGCGTCCAACCTCGTTGCCGGATGCTGTCAACGGGACCAAACGACACCTTTTTACGTCGTTGCTACTGTTCCGGTGAGAGCCGCCCACTCTTCTTCCTCTGTTTCATTGTGGTCCACCGCATGTCGTCGTTGATGCAGTCGGGGAATATTTCTGTTGCTTGCGTGGGATCCCGACTTCTCTCCACCCTCACAGTTTCAGCGCCGCCTTTAAGCACCGCTGCTAGCCGCCGTCAACCTCCTTCAAGATCAATAAAGTGCTGTGGTGGGTGTTTTTGAACGTGTGTGTGTGTGTGCGTGGCTCTGTGCATGTCGACGCGTGCATGCGTTTTTAGGCTGGCCGGAAAACGATTGGAACCACCATGGCAGCCAACCATGGTGGCTGTAGGCCGGATGTTACTCTTCTGCCACCATATACCGCCACCGGCCACCACAAGGGTGGTTGTGTGTGTGTGTGTAATCTTATTGTTGTGTGTGTGTAGCTTAGTGTGTGTGTTTTTGAGATTTGCAATGTAAAACTGTAATAAAGTAGGTATAATGAAAAGAAAAGCTCAAACCACCACCGTAGGGTGGTGGTTGCCGCCACCGACCGCCGTGTCGGGTGGCAGTGTGCTTTGATTGCATTTGGACCTCGTTTGGGGGATGTTTGGACAATATGGGACCAATGAAACCCTAATGGGCCCAAAGAAACCCTAGTGGGCCCAATGGAACCCTAATGGGCCAATAAGGCCCAATGTGACCTAAAAGCCCAACCAATTGACTAATGAGCTAGTATTGGGTAGGAAACCCTAATTAGGGTTTGGAAAACCCTAATAACATAAAACTCTAATTCTTGAGAATTAATCGGCACACACACAAGATTATTTAATAACTTGAAATATTAAATAATAATCATTGGCAAACTAACTTAAGGCAAGAATGGACTTAATGGATTAAGTCCTTAATGGATTAAGTCCTTAATGGGTTATGGGCTTGGACTTATCGGCTTCATGTGAAAACCCTAATCATCAATTCATGTGAAAACCCTAATTTTGGGATTATGGGCTTGGACTTATCGGGACCCACATTTGGGCCATTGGAATGGAATTATGTAATAAGCCCAAGCACACCATATGACTTATTTAGTAAAGTGAGGGACTTAATGGATTAAGTCCTTAATGGGTTAAGTGAGAAACACTTAACCCTAATTGCCATTTTATGTGAAACCCTAATTTCACATGGGCCTTGAGGTGGGCCTTCCTAGTGGGTTTTGGTGATTGGACTACTGATGGGTTGTCCAAGAACAAGTTAATGGACCAAAATAAGTAGATGGACTTTAGGATAAGGCCCATGTGAGGACTTGGGCCCAATTTGGAAGATTGGGCCATAATTGAGACTTTATGACTATGTGATAATGGGCCATGGGGATTGGATTGGAATAATCGAATGGGCCTTAAGGAAAGACCATTTAGAGGTCTGGGCCCAATTTGGAAAATTGGGCCATATGTTGGGCTTTGGCCCATTATTTGACTATTGGGCCTTTGGAGTGTGGGTTGGACCTTGGGCTTGGAACCCAATTACTAATTGGGTATTGTTTGATGTTGGCAGTTCGGGAATCTGTCATACCAGCAGCTGGAGTTTCATCCGCGGGACTTCAGCAGTGTCAGGTGAGTTATCCTCACAATACTAAGGGGTCTAAGGCACCAAGGTCGGCCCATAGGATATGTTATCCTAGCAGTGTTAGATGTTGAGTATGAGTTAGTGTTGCATGATAGTGGTTATGCCAGTTAGGTAGACCCGTAGGACTACCTGTGATGTTATATGATTATTGCATGCTCAGTGGTTATGTTATGTGTTTGTTATATGGGATGGGTTGAGGTTGTACTGCTTCGAGCGGTAGCCAACAAACCCTAGGAGCATTCCAGTTACGGGCTAAGGGAGACTCGTACTGTGGGCTCGGGAGCATCCCAGTTACGGGCTAAGGGAGACTCGTACTGTGGGCTCGTGGGTATTACAGTCTGTAGGGCTGTGGACCCGTTATGTGCTGTTCTGTTCAGTTTGTTATGTTATGATGTTGCTGAGATGGTTATGTGGACTGTATGTGTATCGGTATTTTGGGGGTAACTCTCTAAGCTTTCGGGCTTACAGTTTCAGTTTATTGTTTCACGTACATCAAGGGATTGTGGCAAGGCAAAGGCGTGATCGTACAGCTCCTCACTTTTTATGACTATGTTTCTAGGATACTCTGATATTATACATTTTGAAAACAAGTTTGTAATAACTAATGGTTTTTGGTGTGTTTAAAAAGTTTTAAATTGGCTTGAATTTTTGGGTGTTACACTATCAATCTAGAAATTTACTTTTACATTTCATGATGAACTATGACACAGCAATTCAAAAACAAATAAATACACAACAAGAGCTTGATCATCAAACAAAGAAGGCGGTATATAAATTTATTTCACCACGACCAATAGAAAAACATGCTGCAAAAGTTTATACAAGTACATTGTTTTATGAAGTGCAGAAAGAAATCTATAAAGGTTCCTGGTACTGCCAATACGAACATCTTGGAACAAAAAATGGATGAGAGTTATACAAAGTGGAACAAGTGAACAAAAACAGTGATCTAAAAACAGAATTTGAGGTAATATATTCTTATTTTAAATTTTGTTGAATCAACACATAATATAAAAAAATATTCAGTTATGATTATAAAACACTTAATGCTTTAATTTTATTTTGAACAGGTAGAAATAAAACTTCCAACAAATGATGTAAAAGGTACATGTGAACACTTCAACCGCTTTGGGACTTTGTGCAGACATGCATTCAACATACTCATGAAACATGGAATTAAGGAGATACCTGAACAGTACATTGAGAATCGTTGGAGAAAGGATGTAATATCAAGGCATTATAATTTTGGTAGACATGTATATGATACAGGAGACAGTGAAATTAACAGATTTGTCAATCAAGCATACTACAACTTTGAAGCATGTTTGGAATACGTAAGAAAAAATAAAGAAAAAATGGATTTGTTTGTTAAGAAAACAGAAAGCATGTTGAAGGAATATGAAAACGATCCTACAAATGAATTGTAGAAGAATAGGACAGATGTTGAAGAGGTAGGAAAGCTTATGGGCATATCTATTCCAAAAGATATTGACATCAATGTTCCAAATGTTCAAAGCAATAAAGGATGCGGAAAGAAAAGTAGAATTCAAAGTGCAGCAGAAATAGCGTATAAAAATTCAAACAAGCAAACAAGAAGATGCTCAGGATGTGGAGAAAGGGCTCCTCATAACTTGCGACATGCCCAATTAAACTTGCAGTAGAACAATCATCAAAAGCTACATAGATATTTACTGCTTTAATCAGTAATGAATAAGTCATGAATTTTTTTTTCAAAATAATATACTTTTTGTTTACTACACTTTACTCTTTTTATAAAACAGAATTTACTATGATTTTGTCTACTGGATTTAATCTACTTTGATAATTCTTTCTTTGATTTGATAATATATTCATTCATGATTAAACTTCTATTAAATGTTACTACAAGCATTTAAGATTACATATAAATTGTTATTCAATACATGTAATCATTACACATAACCATATACAATATTCATCTGTATAATCATAAAATATTATGTAATACTACTTCATATGTTTTGTTTAATCATAAGTGATTAAAAATATGATTACACATAAAAAACATCTAACCATTACATATAACCATATACAACAACATTGTTCCTAACAAATATACAACACTGCTCATAAAAAATCTAAAGATAACAATATTCATCATCATAGAATAACATCAAACATGATAAAATCTTCAATAACAAACAATTTCACAAGTCTCAAATATCATGTTCCCCATTTTCCAAGATTCTTGTTCTTCATATTCCTAGCTAGATTTGCATACATATTGTAGCTGACTCCAAGAACTCTTCCACCATTGCTTAGAAAGATTATCTCCATTGAACATAACACATCTTTACTACATATCTGATGTAGAGAAATGTTGTTCATTAAAAAGAAATCTTCTTTAAATGAACAACATTCCTCTACTTCAAAGACATCTAGTAAAGATCTGATATGTTCAATGAAGATAAAGTTTTTAAGTAATGGTGGAAGAGGCGTTCCTGGAGTCAGCTACAATCTGTATGAAAATCTAGCTACAAATAAAAGAACAATATTCTTGAAAAAATGGGGAACATGTTATTAGATACAGCAAAATTAGTTCTTTTAGACTTATAGACTCCATATTTTACCTGAAACAAAATGGAAGTTGTTTACATCATAAATAAATAATGATGATATATAAAAATTGAAGAAATTAATAAACAAAACTAACCATTTGGAAGTATAAGGACTCATCTTTGAAGAAATATAAGGGGTAGCACGAGGCTACCCCCTTTATACAAACATAATTACTTATCAAAAATACAATATATGGCTGTACCAATCAGTTTTCATTTATAAAGAAAAGATTTTTTTTAATACAAACACTAAAAAACAAAACTAAAATCTTACAAAGATAAGATTCTGCATGGTGATGTATTCCATGCAGTAAAGATGAGCTCAATTATCAAGAAAAAGATATAATAAATAATAATGTGTTGTACAACAAATATAATCATTTATGATTACAAAAACAGAAAAAAATAATCGATACAATCACTAATGATTACATATAAGAAACATATAATCAATACTAAAAACATAAATTAGATATAAAAATATAACATAATTCACACAAACAAACTTAGATAATAAAATCCACCAAAATACATATTAACTTGTTTTCCATCACCATGTTTTCCATCATCATAAAAACAAACATTCTTCACAATATCCATAACATACACAACATAAACAACCTTGTTCTTATAACATCATCAATAAGAAAATATTCAATCAAAAAAAATTTGACAGCCTTGTTTCTACATTCCATTGAGCATCATATGCATGCTTACCACGAAATTTTGGATCAACTTTTTGATACTCATATGCAGCTTTCAACACGTCATCACGCTTTTTATTAATCTCAGAAGTTAAAATTGTTGTTGCATATTTCATTCTCAACTTCTCCAGAATTTTTTCTTGAGAAGGACCTTCTTTCGGAAGACCACATTTCCATTTAGAACCTTTTTCTACAAAATAACTCTCCATATGTCTTATAGCAAAAACTCCACAATCCACTTTGTTATAAACTGTCCTCCATGGCATTGTCAATCTTACTGGAGTAAGATTTTTATCAGCCATTTCATTTGCTTTATCATGATCGATCTCTTTTTAAAAAAGACCTTTTCTGAAAATCATATATGATTTCATGTCAGAAAAATATAAGTATAATAATTATAAAACATATCATATATGATTTCAAATCTAAAGAATAAATATCATTTGAAACTTACAAGAGGTTTAAAAACTGCACCATACTTATCATCGAAATCAGCATCATCTGCACCATTATCGATAACCTCAAAAGCATGTTTCTTCAGATTCATAACAATAAGATATATGTGCTTATGCCTCAAAACCGGGAAATATACCTAACATCAACATGTATAATATTAGAAATAATATATATATATATATATATATATATATATATATATATATATATATATAATGTATAAAAAAATATATATACCATATCAACATCCTTCAAAACCTTCAAGTCTCTATCACCAGAAACACTGCGAGAGAAGCTCTCCTTGAAAACTTTATATTTTGCAGTTTCATTCAAATGAGAATATTCAAATGACAAAGTCTGTAATATAAGAAAATCATAAATGATTATATAATAACATGTAAATATTTAATAAAAAAAATTATTAATGATTATCAACATATGAAAAGCAAAGAATAAAATAAAAACTTACAGTGTCAGAATTCATGAACAATCTGAGTGGAGAATTAACAACATCTCTGAATTTCTCTTCATGATTTAGTATACGAGACCATGAGTCAAGAACACTAACATGCAAATGGGTTTTTTTTATAAAGACTTTCATAATTAGCTCTAAACCCAATAACATCTATTTCCATAAGCAATACAATATCCCTGTATATATTTATTTAAATGTTATTTAAAATAAAAAAATTATAATTATAAAAATAAAAAAAATTATATTAAAAAAAATTACCCTGGATTTCCTTGAAGATTGAAAAGCCATTCACAAACAACATTTTCTACTTGTGTCAAACTAGCTTTAAAATCAATCAACCTTTCCTTAAATGGTGGCTTATAAACATAAGAAAACTTCGTTTGTCTCTTTCCTTTGACATCCACTACTGATGTTGCTTCTTCATTTATATCTTTATGTTTGCCAGAAACAGGTTTTGATGGTCCTTCTAATGTACCCAAAGGGGGTGCAAAAGAAACTGGACTAGCATCAATAACATCAACATTTGGAATAATACACTCTGGACCAGCACTTGGTTTTCCCAAAATAAATCTATCCTTAATCTTTTTCTTTGTCATCCGTTCAGAAGAAATTTGACTTTGAGATGACTTCTTGGAACCTTCAGAATCTTGACTAAATCCAAGACTAAAACTTAGAACAAGATCATTTTTCAATGATCGAGTCTCATTTGAATCCTTGTTTTTATTTGAACAATCTTCAACATTTTCTACCCAATAAAATTATAAAAATCATATATGAATAAACAATAATTATAAACACAATTATATATGAATAAACAATAATTATAAACAAATTACCTCCATCTTTATTTTTATTTGAACAATCTTCAACATCTTCACCTTCTCCATCCTTCTTTGCTACAATAATTTTATCAACAGTACGATCTGAAATTACTTTATTCATATGATCATCCTCACCCAAATTTACAGTCCCTAAATTATTAAAATCATAAATGAATCATCTATAACATATTTATATATATTTTATGTATTAAAAATACATAAATAAATACTTACCATCATCAATACCAGTCAAATTCAAATTCACATCATCTTCAACTAGTTTCTGATTTAAACAACCATCAGTACCTATAAAATTCAAATATTAAAAATTAAAATCATATATGATTAAACTATATATAATAATAAAATATGCCTACCTTGATCCAAAGTTTTAAGAAAACTTTCAACAACTGGATCGCAAATAAATTGACTAAAAGATACACCTTCCTGGCTATCAATTAGACCCACACTCTTAGTAACATTTTCGACAACAAAATTTAAATTCATGGCCTCTTCTTTATTACATCCACTTCCATTTCCTTGTTCATCATCTTCATCATAATCACCTTTACCTTCAACATGATTTTTACCAATATTGCCCTCATGTGGACCACTTCCATCCCCCTGACCACCAGAACATTTCCCTTGATCATAATCTTCAACATTTTCATCATCATTAAGAAAATCATTCCCATAATCTTCATCATTAACTTGAACAAAACCAGGTGTTAATATTGGTTCTTTATAATTTTGTGAAACATAACGGAAATCAAAACTTTCTGTGCTTAAATCTTCAACAGGAAATAATAATTTCCAAATTTTCAAATTTTGACTTTGAGGAAACTTCAACACTCCCTCATCTATCTTTACAACAAGATCATTTTTCAAATCCTCCATCTTCTGATACATACATGAAATTTTACTTTCATACACCTACATAAGAAAAAAGATACTTACAACTAAAATACTTAAACATAAAAAGTCATAAATGAATAAACTAATTAAATCATAAATGAATAAAACTATAGAATTACCTCCACATCACTAACTTTATTAACATCAAAATCTTCTTCATCCTCATCACATAAATCCTCTTCACCATCAGATTCAACCTCATCACCACCAGATTCCTCCTCATTATACTCAGATTCTTGAAATTCTTCTTCAACATATGCTTCATTAACATATCCACATCCAAATCCTCCACTCTCTTGTAAAATATTCTCAAGAAACCTTATCTTCTCTGACGTCCAATAAAAAATAGTTAGACGTTTACGTGTGACTTGCAAATGATCAAACTTTAAAGTATCCACATACAACAACTACAAAAAACATATATAACATCATATATGATTTGGTTGTGTAATATATAATTAAACAAAAATTATACTACATAATCATATATGATTATATGTAATAAAATCATATATGATTTATTATAAAAACAAACATATTTTTACAACTAACAAGAATAATAAATATCAAAAAATAACTCACGTACCATAAGGTATGCTGCTGGTCCATAAAAGAAAGAAGATTCTTTCTCTGGATTGTAAACCTTCTTCGTCCTTACCAAACAATCCACAATGTAATCGCACCAGTCAATGCTACTTAAATCAGTATCTCTTCTGATTAAAATATAATGGATTCAGATTACATTTACCCATGCTTGTAGACTCACAGAAAGTATTAATAAAAAGAACCAAAAAATTGATTCTGAAGTTGTCATCCGCAACACTAGTTTGAACAAGTTCATTCTTTAGCTGTTTCAATCTCAATTTATCAATATTTTCATACTGTTTCTTCCACTCAAACATACAACTCTCTTCATTATTCTCCGAAATGTAATCCATTTTTGAAAGTAATGAGCCACTAGATGGTAATCCTAACATCTCTTGAACAGACTTACTATCAACACTAACTTCACAATTATCAAACTCCACCTTCAAAGATTCAAAATTAAAATGATCAAGAACATAATAAACAATCTTCAACGGTACGTCAATCATCTTCATCCCTAACAAACTCCCAAATCCCATAGCCCTAACACAATTCTTCTGTTCTCTACATAAACCTTAAATAACACCCAACAATGACCCGGGTGAACATCTATTCTTCAATGAAGGAAATTCTTTTATAACAGCAACTTTTTTATCTTTCTTCAAAACTTTAGTTTCTCTCTTTGGTTTCTTTGAAGATCCAGGACGACTCTGAAAATCTGAATCATCTTCATCAGATAGTTCACGTTTTTTACTTACAGTTTTGACCTTAACCCTCAGCTTCACTTTTGGTTGTTCAATAACTGTTTTTTTGGATGTATTTGAACGCGTTTGCGACACCTCATTCGCCTTCTCTCTTGTGGAAGATGACTGTGTCTTCCTTGAGCTATCTACATTCCCTTTTTTAACTACAATTTTCATTACAAACATAGTGTTAGTAAAAAATAAAACATACATTTATCATTACTATTCACTAATGATTATAAACAGACGTATAAAATCATTTATGATTAGAACAATAAATAAAAATACAAACTAAATGTTATATACAATCCACTTAAAAGAACCACAAAATCAGTTATGATTACAAAAATAACTTTATATTCATGTTTGATACATAAAAATACATTTATCATTACTATTTACCAATGATTATAAACAAACGTATAAAATCATCTATGATTAGAAGTAAAAATAAACATATAACTAAATGTTATGTTCAATACACTGAAAAAATAAAAAAATCAGTTATGATTACAACAAATAACTTCAAACATTAAGTTATATGTTTATTTCTACTTCTAATCATAGATGATTTTTTTGAACTGTACCTTCGGAAATAACATCACTTCTACCGCATTCAATATTTTTTTTATTTTTGAATATTTTTCGAACATAGTTTCTTTTGAAATCCTTATCTGTGAAAATATAAACAAAAACTTACATAAAAAACCACCACAAACAAACATAATAAAAAACATATCAACTCTAAACGAGACAATCATCAAAATCAAGTTAAAATGACGAAAAACCTACTGAATCAAAACAAAAAACACCATTATCAACATAAAACGACAGTTAAATAATTAATAAAAACATGCATTATCAATAAAATGAAAAATAACTCGCATTCTAACCTTTCATTTCGATTAAGGAAGATGCGACTTCGTTTATATTTTCTCCTAAAGACATTTACTGATTTCTCAATAACAGGTAAGAAACGAAAACTAGGGTAAAATGAGATAAAGAAAGAAAAAGAGGGTTTCCTGAGAGTTCGAATTGAGACTTTTATCGAGAAAGAAAAGAAAACAATAGGCGGTTACAGTATCGTAGCCTGCAAAATTCATATCAATCTTTGTAAAATTACAACAATAGCCCCACAATCGTAAATTAACGGCGTTAGTTTAATAAGTTACCAACATAATTACAAATATGCCACCGCATAGTTTCAAAAACAAACATAAGCAAATCAAACGGTTATACACATATCTCACAATCTCTAATTTTTTTTTATCTTAAGGAACCAACATCTATATATATATATATATATATATATATATATATATATATATATATATATATATATATATATATATATATATATATATATATTATATAAATGAATAGTTTTAATCTCCTTTTGCCAAGTGTCATTCTAATACAACTCCTCAATAATTTATGTCATGTGTTATGTAGATATATTAGACAACTCATTTCAAAATTCAAATTTACATTTTCTAATTATATATTAAATTTGAAGTTATAATAACTTTAAAATTTTTATATATTTCTTAATTAATAATTTATTTAAAATGACTTATTTAAAATAACTGATTAATAATTATAAATTTTTATTATAAAATTTAATTAATTTTATAACCGTGGTTCCCACGGTTATAAACTACTATATATATATATATATATAGATATATATTAATATATATATAGATATATATCTTATATATATAATATCTATATATATATATATATATATATTATATATAGCGAGCGAGAGAGAGCGAGCATTGTTAAAATGAAAACAATTATGAAATTGAGAATGCAAAAACAAATCTAGGGCTACAATTTAAATATGCTGCAAAAACCATATATTATATTTGTTGGAACCTAATATTGGACGACGTTTCACAATTACTTGTTTCTATAGGGTTAAAGAGATGATTTGATTCGATTTCCAATTCTTTTTTATTCCCCTATTTTGGTGTCATTCTCATATTCTTTTGATTTTAGACTTCCGATGATTTTCTTCTCCGTTCACAATATAGTTGAACGCGTACCTGACAAATTGTGGGCTCGAAAAATAGGAACAACAAATGTTTTCTATCCAATTGCAACTATATAAGACCAAGCACGAAATTTTAGCAAAGGGGAGTGGGGTAGGGACGGATCCACAATAGATCCTGGGGTATCTCGGGATGCCCCTAAAAAAAAATTCAGTACTGTAATTTTTTTAGAAAATTTTTGTTGCATATATACATAATATTAATATATTTAGTGAGATAATAACACAAGTTGTAGTTGTTTCGTATGGTTAAGGTGTTAGGGGATGTTTTTAAAGGTAGTAAGTTCAAATCTTCTTTCAAACATTTATTTTATTTTACATTGAACTTTTAACTTTGAGGCATTGGCGAATCTAGAACTAAAATCAACGTGGTTCCTTATATAAATGAAATGGAAAAAAGTATGAAAATGTAGGTCTTTTGGCAAAAATAAGGTAGTTCCGTATGTTTTTTATATAAAATTGTTGTATTAAAAAAGAAAAAAGGTAGATCCTAGGACCTACCTTGAGTATGAATAGCTACGCCCCTGCTTTGAGGACCCTATTTCAAATTTTGGCCCTTATACGGGTGTACTTTATTTTGTTTATCAGTTTTTCAACTTGTTTTTTAAAATATTAAAATTGTCTCATATCGGCCATAACATGAAAATAGCTCCTATACATATGTTAACACAAGCTTCTTAATTCTCAACAAGTTAAACTTTTGAATGAGTTTGGGTTTAAACCCAAAACCGAGTTTGGAAAATCGAGAAACCAAATCCATCGGGTTTGGGATACCCCTTTAGTTAGACCATGGCTCCGCCACTGCGTGGGGGGTCGCCCATGTTGTCCACCGTTGGGAATGGATGTGCCCCTGAATGCATGTTTGTTAACTATATAAATATGGAAAATAATATGTATTTTTTGTATACCGTTGTGTCTCATACTGTATTCTTTTAAATACATATGAACTTATAATGCATCTTCGCAAAATTTAGGATAATGTATTCTTGTAGAATAATGTGTTTGTATACCATAGGATACTATTAAATGTGTATTTACGTAGGATATTGTAGTCTGGTAGAATACAATACTTATTTGATTTATAATGTGTACGTGTACGAAATTGTATTCTTGTATAATAGAATACAATACAATATATAAAAATAAGTACTGTTTTAAATGTGTAGAAAAGTGTGTGTATACTATAGGAGTTGCGACCGAATTTTTCGAAGATGTTTTTGATTTGTGAAAATCTTACAGCTTTAAGAGAGACCACAATAATAAATTTGGAAATTCACAACTGCACAAACAGAGGTTACAATCATTAATATTTCAGTTTATATTTTAGGTAATCATGTAACTAATCACACCAACTACTTTCTCATTATATAATCCTCCTAATTCGTAATACCCTCTCAATCAAGCACCTTCATAAATTTATTGTTTATCGTACCACATAATTCACATATGTTGTAATCAGAGAAAATCTTTCTAAATATTCTTGATACAAAAATTGCTGAATTAATTAATAAAAGAAAACGAATAGAGATATATTCATTTTAGCTTACATTCTTTGAAAGGAATACCAAGCTCAAGTTCCAATCACTTTTCAAATCAGTTATTCCTCAAAAAGCTATTGGCATATCAAACAAATATATACTAACATGATGCCTTGATACCTTCTACACATTCACTTGATGTTCTTCACACATTCTAACATCAACTTGTAAAGTGCAAATCCTCCTCTGTGGCACCCCGGCATTTTAGATGCCATGTTCTCCAACTCACTCTGATATTTATACACATTTAACATCAGTCACAGTCACTTTTGTCCCGTTAACATCAGTCTCAGTACCAGTATTAGTCTGACAAAGGGACCATAAATGACCATTGCTTAGACATCAATTAATTTAAAAGGATGAAATGAGAACTCACGGGTTGTATAATATAAAGTTTTGTTGACTCGAAGCCATCTTGTGCACTGGAATAAAGTTGTTGAACTTTTGTTGATTCAAGATTGCACTTGATGAAGAAAAAAGCAGTGGGTCTTACATTCAATACCCTACGCGATATCCCAATGAATAAAGGGTCGCTCTGTATCAAATCAAATAACCAAACTAAGAGGATTAATTTGGTATTAGTTTAAGGTGAGAAAATCAAATGAAGAAAACTTGGGAGACCTGATTGCAATAAAGAGAAATATTATATTCTTACCAATGTTGAAGCAGGTACTCCTATTTCTTCAACAACTTCACGGATAATGCTGTCAAACATCTCTTGTGAAATATTTCTGTTTCTCAACTCTGAGTTTTCACACTTATGGGATGTAATTCCAACTTCTTCTGGCTATCAATCATAAAAATATATAATTCGCCAAATTTACGTTTTATTATTTTTGAAAAAAAAAGTAAAAAGAAAAAGATTGTTGATTTGATGTACCTCGGGATGCCCACCTGGAAAGACCAAGTATCCTGGAAATTCTCCAACATTATTACTTCTTTGGAGCACAAGTATCATATTATCAGATGTCTGTACAATTGCACCATTGCCTAATGGACTAGATGTGTGTTGACACTGCTTACAATCATCTAAAAAAAGATCATGTAACATGAAAAGTAAAGGGTATGATTGGATAATGATTCTTGAAAGTTGAAACAGCAGGTGTGAAAATGTATGATGTTTTTACCTTCAGATGCCACAAGAAATCTTTCCCATGAAGGATTTAAGTTTGTCCCCATAAAAGTCCTGAAATAGTAACATATTGTTTCTAGGGTGAGAAAATGATACAGATTATACAAAAAAAAGGTATACATATGGAGATTGGAGAGAGAAGAAGAGAGAACCTATAATCTGTTAGACCAAGGTGAAGGCATACATGAGGTTCAAGGCCACTGTGTCCTCCATACTAAGTTGCAACAACCATTAAAGAGTAAGAACAATGTGTATGATACTTTCACTGAATGTAAGATATTCAATTACTTAAACAGCTGAATGTGTTAGAACTTAGAAGGTTGATTAAAAAATAAATCTACAAACCCTAAACTTTTTCCCATTGAACAGTGATGTGCTTTGTTGAACCTTCTGATCCCATATCTGACAAAAAAAAGGAGAGAGAGAGAGAGATGAAAGAGGAAGAATATTAGCTAGATATAAAAGATATTTGTCCTTCGAATCAACAGTAATTGTCATTTATGCAAATCTTATACGCCACTGACAGAGGGATTATGATCTTGATGTATATACTAATTCAAGACATTTACTTTTGATTTCACTACCCTCAACAGGAAGATTTGAGTATGCCACTGGCCTAGTACATGATTGAAGTGTAACAACCAGATTCCTTAATCCTTATTAACTCTTCCCTATTACAGTATAGTATATAGTATTATTCGACCATTATTGCAATACTACGAATATGAGTTGAAGAACAACGGATTATATCATCTATGTTAGGGTTTGTTTCTTGCACAATGTTTGTGTCTACCTGGAGCACCAAAATTCAATTGAAAGCAAAATTAACTAGGAAAAAGAAAACTAACAGGGAATATATGATGCAATGAAGCAAAGCAATAAGAAGAGAAACATTAGTATGAACACCTCAGAAATGGAGTTATCTAAGTCAATGTCCGGATGAGGAACTCTATCGTACGATTCGTCGAAGTTCACCGACACCTAATTAAAAAGTAAAGATATCACAAATTGTTATCAAACAATAACTTAAAATGACTTCTTTAAAGAAAATCGATCGGGAAAGTTACTGTATCTGATCATAATAAGGAAAATCGAAGTTTTACCTGTGAAGAAGAGAGACCAGAGGGACATGAAAGGAGAAGCTTGAACGCATTCTCCATGATCACCTTCCCAGCTTCCACAGATCTCCTCACAGCATGAAAGCCGATCTCCAGTTGGTTTAGGCTTCGTTTTGTGTTCGAATCGAGTTGGGTTTTACGGTGAGTTGGACCACCTTGAGTTAACAGCGAGTTAATTAAGTCGAGTTCGTATGATTTTTAATTTATTTATGGAAAAGTATTAAATTGAGTAAATTACAATTTTTGGTTCATGTGTTTTAAGTCTATTTTTTGAGTTTTTGACACGGATAGTCCTTTTTTTTACATGGTTGGTACCGGTCCTTTCCGTTAAATTTAACTATTTAATTGTTACAATCGTGAATATAAACATTTTACCTTCAACCAAAATTGATAACTACTCTAATTACACGGACCAAATAGTAAAAACTATAAGAAAATTGAGTAATCTAACCAATTTTTTTGTTTATAAAAAAAAAAGAACCAAGGTTATAGAAATTTTGAAAAATGACCACATAGCTCATAATGGGTGTATTTCGGATCCATCTTTTTAAACGGGTCACCCACTTATATGATCACACCCGTAATTGTGGTCCTCCTATATATTATTCTGTATTTCGAACAATACTCCAAAACACCCATTTCGGACTTGCCGATGTTTCGAAGTTGCAATTGATCATGCCAACGAAAGGAAAGAAAAAGATGGGCATGTACCGTAGAGTTTTTCGTATTGTAATTAAAAAACAACGAAATGAAAGACATGGTAAACCTGCAATATCTAAATGGTCCACACCAACGAAGGGAAGGAAAAGGTTGTAATGTGTGGGAAAAAATGTTATATTCTTTTGTTTTACAAGAAATTTGAGAAGCAATCCAAAATTTTGATAATATATGTAAATAGATTGATTACTAGAAGTATAATGTGGAGGTTGAAACGATTTGAAGATCAATTTGATAGGATCAAAATTATGTTTGGTACGATGTGATTTGAAAGACATCCTATTGAAACTTCTAGAAACAAACACTATTATGAGATTATGAATAAGAAATATAGTGTTCTGATACCATGTTATGATTTTTGTATCAAATTTGATTAAGAACCAACTAATGAGAGGTATATTTGGAAGTAAAAAAGTCGTCGATGATATATTGATTCAACCGATAAAGATGTGTGCATGAATATATAATACGATAATATATGTAGAGTTAATAAATGTCTCTCCAAAAGAGTCATTATGGAAGGATTGTAAAAGAGAAAAATATAAACAATTAAAAGACTGTGTCTTAATATGAGATACGTTAAGAGCATGTTCGACACGGATCGTTTGGGAGCTTCTAGCTTCTAGCGTTTGATAAAACGCTCCGTTTTGAACAAAAAATCTCGTTTGACACTACAAACATTTAACGTTTAGTTTAACAAAACGTTCCAAAACCAAAAACTAGCTCACATAGCGTTTAACAAAATGTTACCAGCTACCAACTAGTTTTACCGAACACACCTTAAAATTACAAAAGCTAAAGAAACTAATTAAGAAATTACCACTAATTATGGTAATGTATAAATATAATCCCTAAGAATCCGGGACTAGTATACGCTAATAAACTCTTTGAAAAATAAGAAAAACAAAAAAAAAAAACAAAAACTGAATGTGTAAATGTTTCGAATTGATCACAGTATTTGATCATACTACGGTATTATTTCAAGGAAAATCAGTATTTTTATTAGTGAAGAAGAGAAACAAGATGGACATGAAAGATTGAAAGGGACCGGAAGCTTAAACGCGTTCTCCTCACACAATATGAAAGTCGATCTCAGCTTGGACTGGGCCTCGTATTGTGTTCAATTGGATTTGGGTTTTTATGGCCGAACCATTTAAGTTGACAGCGAGTTAATCAAGACCAAATTCCGCCAAATCATAAAAAATCAATTATTCCAATCTTTGGTCAATATGGAAAAGTGAAAATTGTCAAATTCTTTTGTATTTCACACACAAATTTTCATAACATCACATAAACATGGAAAGCATAGAAATAGAAACCAAACACACAGACTTATACAAACTAATACGCAAGATACACATGAAACTGAAGCAGTGTCTCAGTTCCATCATTATTCTGCTGGTTTGTCCCTTGAAAAGTCTTCACCACCGCATGCCCTTTAGCATTCACATACTTCCCAGTGCCACCCATCACCGCCAGCTGGGACTCCGCCACCGCACTCCGGTGAACCCCCATAAAGCTCAAACTATCAATATAACTCCCGTGCATAAACATCACAGTAAACGCCATCGTCTGACTCTTCCCATCTATGGAACTCGAGACATAATACCCTTGAGCCTTTCCGATCAAACCAGACCCAAGCTCGTGTCCTTCGGTCAACTCATCGTCAATCACAGTCAACGTTCCAAACATAAACTGTTGCAACGCGTTCCCTTGCGGGAGCTGTCCACCAATGGAAGCAAAAACATTGTTATTGTTGTTGTTGTTATTGTTGTTATTGTTGTTTTGGAAGACATTTGAAGTGGTTCCACCTAGGCCGGTAAGAAACGGGAGATTGTTGTTGTTGATGACTCCGCTGTTTCCGTCGTTTTGCGAGACGCCATTGTTGACCGGGAGATTTGCTCCGTTGGGTTTAGCGAAGGGAACCTGACCATTCAAGGCGGGGTTAGTGACGGCTCCGGTGACTGCTTTAGCTGAGGGGTTTGACCCGCCAAGAATGTCGTGCATGAAGAAGGTGAGTGTGTGGTCGGGACCTTCAACGGGCACCACACCGGTAGTTCCGGTGGTGGTGGTGGAAGCTGGGTTAGGTGGGATGGCGCCCAAGGGAGTGACATCGTCTGCATCGGGTGCAGCTACAGGGATCGCGGTCTCTGGGTCTTCTGTTAGGGTTCGAGCTGCAGTGGTTAAAGAGAAGGTGGTGGTTAGGAGGAGAAGGAAGAGTAATGAAAGACAAGTGAAGGTAGATGTTGCCATGGTCAATTACAGAAGCTGATCAGGGTGTGTATGATTGACTTTGAAGTGGGTATTGAGGAATGAGATGATTTGAATATGTGAAGTTGATGTCTGTTTATATACAGAGGAGATGGAGGATGTAAAGGTGTATGGTGTAGTTGATTACATGGTGATGGAGTGGGTGCCATAAGAGTTGGTGACCTGAACTTTGTGCGATCAATTGCTAAACAACTACCAAAAGGTTCGGTTTATAGAAAGTAAAACCACTCCGACCTTTTGCCACCTTCGACCCTAATCAATTATGAGTTACATAAAAGTTATTGAACCCAAGACCTTCGTTTTAGAATTCATTTGACAAAAGCTGGTCTCATTTAGAAGGTCAAATAAAAGCTATTGATAATCACTACCTAAAATGTATCAAATGATTATATTTACCTAATCTACACAAATAATTCAAAATTACTATAAAAACTCAAAGCATTGAAGAATTTGGGTCGAACGATTGCGATAAACTGGAACGTCAATCTTAGTGTGTTGCAAATCCATGGGCAAGACTACAGATTTGTAAAGATTCAAACAAAATTATAAATCTTGATGAATGATTGTTTGGTTAGATACATACGTATGTCATAATTTGTGTATTGAATTATTAACCATATAACATTTTTTTTGAGTTTTGAGTTTGCCCCATATCAAGCAACGGGGATATCAGCTTGCTGAAACCAAGTCGGTGACAATCACATGCCCACTTTTATCCCCACCGCAAGTGCTTGCAACCAATGCTTCCCAAGACCCCAGATCAGGGCACATTCGTCTTTTCACCATCTCCTCCATAACAAACCAACCATCTTCCATCTTCCCATTCTTAATCAACCCAACAACCAAACAACAAAACGTTTCCACACGCGCACAATGATTACTCATCATCATAGCGTTTAAAACCTTCAACCCCTCATCAAATTCTCCATTTCTACAAAAACCATCAACTATCATTCTATACGTGGCTGCATTTGGCTCAAACCCATCAACCTGCATCTCAACCAAGATCTTGTAAGCTTCCCCAACTTTACTTTCCTTACATAGGTAATTGATCAATATGTTGTACATTACAACATCTGGCTTGATTCGCCTTTTCTTCATTTCAAGAAGTAAAGATTTAGCTTCATTAAAGTTTCCCCTTTTAGCAAGATCGTTCATCAAGATTCCGTAATTCACAAGCCGTGTTTTGCATCCTTGGTATTCCATATCAAACATCATCTTTTTCGCTTCCTTGAACTTTTCTTGTGAGCACAAACACTCCATTAATAAGGCATATGATATAGCATTTGGTTTTTTCCCTTTTCTAATAATTTCATCAAACAAAGTCTTAGCCTCGGAAAACTTGCCCCTTTTACTCCAAAATCCGATTTGACAATTGTAAGTTACAACTGTAGGTTCGACCTCTCTCTCATGCATTTCATCGAACACCTTACGTGCTTCATCCCACTCGCCCTTTGCAAGCCACCCCTTGATCATGATATTAAATGTCACCGCATTTGGTCGAAATCCCATTTTGGAGCAAGACTTGAACATCCCATCCGCATCATTAAACCTTCCATTCTCAAGCAATGTATTGAGAATTGTATTTAACGACTGTAATGAACGGTAGCAATCAAACGACGGCATTTTCCGAAACAATTCGATGGCTTTGTCAGGCAAACCAGACTTTCCGTAATGCTGAATTAATCCGATGAACAAAGCTTCTTTACATTTAACGTTATAGTGCTGGAGTTGTTGAAGAAGGGTTTCGACTGCTTCGTAGTTTCTTCTACGTGCAAGTTTGTAAATGAGGGAAGAATAAGAAGGGTAGTCGTGCTTAAAACCGCCAGTTTCGCAGTAATCGCGGAAGAGAGCGAGAGCTTCATCTGGGCTTTGAATGTCTTTGAGGTCAGTGACGAAAGGTATCCGTTTTCGGAGGAGAGCCTTGGTAGGCTTGTGAGGTCTCTGTTTGTGATAATGGCGAATGAGAGTTCGATTAAAAAACATCTTCCGAAATACATACATGATTACTCGTTTCGTTAATGGAACCCCGTGAAACGAATCAAGCGATCATAGAATATACGATAACCCGTAGAGAAGGAAAGGCGCTGCTGTAATTATCAATAAGAAATCGACACCACAGTTCATCACAACGAATTTGCTTTACCGCTCTTTGTGAACGGGAAACCTACCCATCGTTTAGGCTATGTTTTGGTACTGATTGAAACGCTAGCTGTTAAATAAAAAGCTAGCTGATAGCTGAAAAGCTAGCTGATAAAAAATAACATTTGGTAAAACTAGCTGAAAAGCTAGCTGAAATATATAAAATTACATAAAATGACATGTAGGAGTATGTGTTTCTATAATTAATTAAGAAGTGTATTTGAAAATTTTTAAAAAAACTCCTAAAAAGCTCCTCTAAGTAGCTTTTCAAAAAGCTAGCTTAAAAGCTACTTTTTGGCTTACCAAACACGACAACATAAAAAAGCTCGAAAAATAAACTAGCTTATCAGCTAGCTGTGACGCGTCAAACACAGCCTTAATATTTTTGTTCTGGTTAACCTTTTTTCATAGTTTTTTTATGAATCTAACTTATTAATCTATCTAAAATGTTCACCTCCTCATTTAATTAATAGTCTTTAAACATATTATAATTGAATAGGAAATATTTTAAATTAAGATTATCACTAAAAATTAGTATATAAACATTTAATAAATGAAAAACTATGGTAGAAATAATTAAATAGTTAAATAAATGAAAAACATTTAAAACTACAATATAATTAAGGGGTAAAAATAAAATATGTTAAAAGTAAAAGGGGTTAGATGCTTAAAGCTTTATACTATATTGACCACTCAATATATATTGAGTGGTCGATATAAATACACAAAAAGCAATCAACTCCAATGGTGTTAAATGAAAATAAGTGATGAATCAATAAAAAAAAGTTCTAAAATAAGTCCCCTTTGGAGATGCTCTAAGGTTTTATTCCATAAACATTTTTATTTTAAAATTAAAAAACTTATAACCCAAAAGAGCTAAGGTTATAAAAGCCCTTAAATTTAAAAAAAAATATTTATAACATGTTTTGTTTAACTTGTGTATTTATTGCATTTAATCATGTGAACAAGTGAAGAGTTGGTAATTAGTGTGGCCTTTACATAGCAGGGAAACGAACTTGTCACTAGACCATCACCTTTTGCACGTAAACGTACCCACGGCTCTGCAACTCTCAGGAAATCTGTAACATCTATAAAATTCATGAAAAATATAAACTTTTAAAACCACCCGTAGATCCTCATTGTTTACAAAATAGTTTTCAAAATGTGTTTAATATCGAAGTCTTCCCAAAATCATAAAACAAAACATGAGGAGGTGCACGATCACACCTTCGCCTTCCCGCGATCCTCTAAGGTACCTGAAACATAATCCAAACTGTAAGCCCAAAGCTTAGTGAGTTACCCCAAAATATCAATACACAACAAATAGCATATATACAATAACAACATGCAATGGGTCCATGACTAGAGATGGGCACAAAAACCGGATTGGGCTCTCGGATCCGATCCGATCTGAAAACCGGATTTGGTCAAAACCGGTTTTGACCGAACCGGATCGGATTAAACCGGCCACCGGATCGAAACCGGATTGAAGCTTCGGACATGATTTCGGATTTAACCCCTGATTGAGAACCGGATTCGGTTCAAACCGGATTGAAACCGGTTTTTTTTTACCGTTGAGCAACGGGAATTTTGAATTTTTTTTTTATAGCCGTTGGAAAGGGGAAAAAACGGCTAGTTTGACTTTTCTTGACTTTTTTGCCCTTCCAAACACATATAAATACAACCCATTTGCTCCATTTACCTTTTACACACATTTCTACTACTTTATACTTCTACTTTATACTTCTATTTTCATAATCTTCCATGAAATGAGCTCCCGAAATTCTACCGCGACTCAAGAGTCGGATGCAACGGTGGTAAAATCTTACCAACCACTCGGAGTAAAGAAGTATGGGAACATTACGATTTGTGTTTGTTGTCGAACGGGAAAGAAAAAGCAAGGTGCAAGCAATGCGGGATGTTTTTGGGAAAAGATGGCAATAGTACGTTGAGGAGTCATACAACAAAAACGTGTCCGGTTGTAAAAGGTCAAGGCGATCCGGATCAACCAAATATTACTCCCGACGGTTCGATCTTTGTTTACAACAATGATGACCTTCGTGAAAGCTTTTGCAAGTTCGTCATTCAAGAGGGCTTGCCTTTCAACCACTTCGACAACCCACGATTAACAAGGATTTTGCGGGAAAAAATGCAACCACAATACCGGCAAGTAAGTCGCACTTCTCTTAGACGTGATGCTTTAAAGTATTGGGATATAGCCAAAAAAGATATGCAATTGGGATTTTTAAATATAAAAACTGGTGTTTCTTTAACGTGTGATGTTTGGTCCTCCACCGGTAGTTGTCCCAAAAGTTATCTTGCCGTCACGGCACATTAGATAGATCCCACTACTTGGGTAATGAACAAACGAGTTATTGCTTTTGAACTTTTTGCGCATCCTCACACGGGCGCACGATTATTTGCAATTTTAGTAAGCGTTATAGAGACTTATAATTTACGCGACAAAATCTTCTCTATTTCGTTTGACAATGCAAGTAATAATACCGTCGCGGCAAAAAGATTAATTGCAAAAAATAACCTATTTTGGATGGCTCGTTTTTTCATACTATATGTGTTTGTCACATTATTAATCTTGCGGTACAAGATGGTTTAAAAATGATAGATTCAACGATTGAAAAATTCAAAACTGTGTTAACTAGAGTTTTTGGAAAAAATAAAGCTACAATGGAAAAATATCGAAAGTTTGCCATTTCCATAAACGTAACTCCATATAGTCCTCATTGGGATGTTGACACTAGATGGAGTTCAACATGTATGATGTTTGAAAGTTTGACACGTCAAAGAATCGCTTTACAATTATTTTACGACACAATTTCAAAAGGAAAAAACCCGGTTTCGGATTATGATTGGAATTTGATGGAAGAGTTTGTGGAAATGTTAAAAGTTTTTAAACAATCAACCATTTTTTTATCGGGCGTGTATTACCCTACAAGTCCGTTGTTACTAAATGAATTATGGTTGATGTCCGCACAATTGGAGCGTTTTGAACAAAGAAGTGAAATATTTGTTTTAGTTACGAGACCAATGAGACAAAAACTAGTCAAATATTTCAAAGAAATGCCACCACTTTTACTTGTGCCCCGGCATTAAACCCATGTATCAATGTTACGGGTGTAGAGGCTTTGATTACCAAAATTTCTATGTCTTTAAATTTGCACAAAGATGACTCAAACTACATCCGTAACCAAATACACACTTTTAATAATACTTTTACTAATTTGTTTGACATTTACGCTACAAAGTATGGCGATATGTCAAACACTTTTGCAAGTGTAACCGACTCTACTAGTGGTGCATCGGGTAGTGGTGGGGGTTGAACGGATTTTCATATCGACCTCTATAACTACCTTTTGGAGGAACAAAACAAAAGAGCACGCACATTAACCCCTAGTAGCGAACTTGGAATTTATATGGGGTCAAACTTTTTAAAATTCATGAGTGCACCACAATTTAAAAATTTGGAAGCACAATTTCCTATTCTCTCCGTCATGGCCCGCGATTTACTAACCGTCCAAGCTTCCACGGTAGCTTCGGAATCCGCTTTTTCTTTTAGTGGTAGAGTTTTATCAAAGTTGAGGACGAATCTTACCCCGGTTGCGGTATAGGTTTGCGTTTGCTTGAAGGATTACTTGGATTCGGTGGAACGTATACAACACTTGGCATCACTAGAAGGCCCACTACCACAAAATGTTGAACCGGAGATCATGGATGAAGAATATGCACAAGGCTTATCAACACCTCCGGAAGACGAAGACGATGACGATGAAGACGAAGACGAAGATGAAGAATATGGTATTGATGAGACCCCTAGTTATTTGCGTGGCGGTTGAAGAATATTTTAGTGAAGGCGACACGAAGTGGAAGACCACAAAAACTATTTCTATTTGGCTAAATGTTATAACGCCACTTTATTATTATTATTATTATTAGTTAACTAGTTTAAAAACTCTTTCTAATTCGACGTTTGATGTATGTTTTAACTATTTTAATGAACCTATGTTGCATTTTTTGTTATATATGAGGTCCAAAAAATGTTTTTAAAAAAAAAAAAAAACAAAATCGGATCGGATTTCGAATCGGATTGTAACCGGATCAGATTAAACCGATTCGGATTCGGGGCTCGGAAAACCGGTCAAATCCGGTTCGGATTATGGGCTGATTCGGATCGGCTGTGACGTCATCAAACCCGATCGGATCCGGATCCGGATCAGATCGGGTCTTTGTGCATCTCTATCCACGGCTAACAGACTGGATTACCCCTGAGCCCACAACATAAGTCTGGCTTGCCCTTGGCCCACAACTTATGTTTGGCTTGCTCCCCGGCCTAGTCAGTCCTCGGACTGAATACCACTAAGCCCTCAGTACGAGTCTGACATGCCCTTCCCGACCCTCAGCTCGTATCTAGAATGCTCATGAGCCCTCAGTATGAGTCTGACATTCCCTCCCCGACCCTCAGCTCATATCTGGCTTGCTCCAGGGTTTGTTGGCTACATCACTGAGCAATATAACCTCAACCCAACCCACACAATATATCGACATATAACAGATAATATCATATACAGATAAACAAACAGTATCACATGTAGTCCTACAGATCTACCAGACTAGCATATCAAATCTAGCATGCATATCTATTCCATACTCAACATATCAACAAATATCAGGTTATCAAACTAATGGGTCGGCCTTGGTGCCTTCGACCCGAAAGTACAGTGAGGAAAACTCACCTCGCAGACTGAATAGAACTGATGAGGACCGACTCCGAATCTCAGCTCCAACCAACACATATTCATCAAATAAAGACCAATCCTTAGATACCACTC